CCACTTTGTTGGAATCTAGAGGACTATCACACACTCACAAAAATATAATGGAAGAGACTAGTGAAGATTGAAAGAACTCTTTCTATTCATTCATATTTAAATAGATGTATTACATAGGATATATATAGACTCTCATATATAACACATGACATACAAAATAACTATAAAACCCGAAAAAAAAATTTATTATTATTATTATTAAAAATCTTAATTAAAGGGGTAAAATAATAATTAATTGTAAATATAAGAGTCAAAAATGTAAATTTCTAAATTATAAATTTATACTATATATATATAAGTGTGGAAGACTTTAGTCTTCCATTTTTTCTTCTTCCAGTGTACTGCTGAGAGAGTGAGAGAGAGAAATGTGAGGGTTTTTTTTTTTTCTCCTTCCTTCTTTCTTAGATCTACGAAGATTGGACCGTTTAATCGCTTTGGGCTAAGAATTAAAGTTGCTCTACTCAGCGAGAGCTACGCAACCACACCAAATATCATATTTTTCTCCAAACAAATATCAAAGATGATAATCTAGGGCTAAAGTTTGGAAAGTTAAGTTGGACTTCCTTGGAGTTCCAGTACATGGGCTCACGTTACGAGAGATAAGGTTTTCCCTATTTAGATTTACTTTCAACCTAAAATATGACATATGAAATGGGTAGGTTATGGGTGTATATCACATGTTAGGTTTTAACTAGTGTAACTAGTAGGTCAAATATATGATTTATAATTAACTTTGTAACTAGAAAAATTCTATTATGATTAACTTGGTCAAAGTTAATGTTAGTGGTTTAAAGCATGTTAATTGTACATTAGCATTATTTTATGTGTTAAATGGCATATCAAGTTATGTGATTATGGAATAATATGTATGTTAAATAATTATTTAGCATATAATTATTGTGGTGGACTTGTGCTTATGTTTATAGAATTGATAAATATGTTGTCATGTTAAAAATGTCATTATATTGTATTCTTTATATAATGGACATTGTAAATGGTACCAAAGGCAATTGCACATTGAAATATCATTATACATGGGTTACATTACATTCATGGGCATTGACATGGGTGGGAGTGTGTGCATGAGATTAAATCAATCACCACATAGGTGGTTGATTGTGGGCTCGAAAAAGTCGCCCTAAGTTCTGGTTGAGTTACACAAAAAATTAAATGGATAAACGTGTTGGAGATAGTAAGAAGGGCTAGATTCTCCCTCGATGTGCAAGACCCGCTTACTTGGTTTATACACTTTTTGGCGGTGAATTTCCAGAAAATTTGAACGGCCAAAACGGAGCCGCAGGTGGGATATCTTGAGAATCTATTGATGGTTGGTGTCCCATTGGTGTAATACCATAAATTCTCTCCCCACAAAAGACACAAAAAAATGAATTAATTAGTCATTGAATATACATAACTCTAATGACGAGGGCTTGAAATGCCCGGATACATACGCGTGACATTGCATATGTTGTAGGAGCTCAGGATGGGGCTCGGTGTTTGTATTGTTTTCGTGAGTCTCATCTCATGGTATGACATGATTTATGACATTTGTTCATAATAGACATATTTGAATGATTGCATGAAATGATTATTGTATGTGACATTTCATATGCATTTAGGTTGAGAGATATTCTCTATAGGAGTTACCATATTGAGCGTTGACTTACCCTTTATGGGAACATTTTTTAGGTATTGCACAGGTGTCCACCGAAAGCGAGGCCACGGGCCCGCTTTGACGACAGAGCCAGTCTGTGGCTCTTTTTTTGACATCGTAGTCCCTTGTTTATAATTACTTTTGGCCTTGTGTAATTTTTGTAACAAAAACTTGTTTATATTTAAAAGGCAAGTATAAGTGACTCTTTTGAGATATTTATTCTTTTATGAATGAATGTACATAATGATGATGATTTTGGTAGTATTCGATACTATACAATTGTGAATGAATGGATAGACCCAGTGTGGTCAATGTTGTACAGGTTGCATTTTGGGTAGAACTCCTCGTTCAAAGGAGACTTTGCCCAAATTTTGTTAAGTTATGGATCTCGATAAATGGGGCATAACGGCGTGGTATCGAATTACATGGTATCCACGGGTATTCTGCGGATTGATAGGTGATCAATTGGGTAATTATTGACACCTGGATTTTGGGGTGTCACAATAACCCCACTATATAATGCAATAATAAAAATAATAAAGACTCTACTCCATTATTTGGAGAATTAAAATACCAGAATTAATTTGTCCCCACTAATACCAAATTGATGACCCACTAATACAAAAAATTAAATGCATAAAAATAACTCTTAAAACATGAAAAGTCATGTTTAATATTATTTTTCCAATAGTGAGAACCGAAGTGGCAAAGGTGTTGTACTCAGGGCCTAAACCGACAAGAACGTAATGAACTTTGTCGACATCCGAGATGGGCATGCCAATGGCAGAGAGAGTGTCAAACAATCCTTTGAATTGACGAAGATAATCAAAAGGCAAGAGGCAAGAGCATATGGGAAACCAAACCATCTCAGTTCTGTTCATGGAACTGGAGAAAGTTGCTGGAAGTTAGGGAATTAGCAAGACCTTTCATTCTTTATGTTATTGGAAATGGTAGGAATACATCTCTTTGGCATGATTTTTGGCATCGTAATGGTGCTCTCCTTCTTAAATGGGGTCCCAAAGTGATTTATAATACTAGGATCCCTAAGAATGCCAAGGTTGCCTCCATTATCCAAGGAAACCAGTGGAGGTGGCCTTCAGTTAATCCTAGAAACTCCAGAATCATTGAAGAGATCATTTCTACTATACCCAATTACTCCCCAACAATTGAGACAACGGATGAGATCAAATGGTTTCCCCAAGTAAATGGCAAATTCTCTACTTCTTCAGCTTGGAATCAAATCAGGACCAAAAAATTAGAGGTGTTGTGGTGCCATCTTATTTGGTTCAATCTTTGCATTCCTAGGACCAACTTTATCCTTTGGCTTGCTATAAGGAATAGATTGGACACAATGGACAAAATCCATAGTTTTACACCCAACTGTGGAACTATCTGTGTACTATGTAGAGCTGATCAAGAATCTCACTCCCATCTATTTTTTGAATGCTCATACTCAGAGAGAGTTTGGAGGAATATCATCAGTAAGTGTGATTGGCCATGATGATCTTCTTCTTAGCAGAGTCTCATTGAGGCTATGTCCACCCAATAGAAAGGCATGAATTTGCAAAACTCAATTAGGAAGCTATGTCTTGTTGTCACAGTTTATGCTATTTGGGGTGAAAGTAATCATATAATTTTCACCAATGAGTATAAAGATCCAGATACTACCCAGATAACGGTTTTGAATATGGTGAGAAGTAGGCTTCTCTCAACTACAATCAAGGACACCCCGCTTCATAGGCAGGCTGCTTCTCCTTGGCAACTTCCTGACTCTTGTTTTTGCACATGATGTAATATCAGATTGTAGCTTACAGGTTTCCTCTGCCTGCTTTTGATGAACTGACTGCAGTGTGAGATTGGAGATCATCACCTTCTCTTCTTTTCTTGCCCAATTTCTGCAACTGTCTGGAACCAGGTGCTACAAAAATGTGGACTTTGTGGGCCCCTCTAGGAATCAGAAGTATGGAGCACATTCAGCTAATCTTGTTGACGGCCATAAAGTCATCCCAAAACAGCAACATCCTGCAAGTATGGCAAGTCCCAGTTCATGGCTCCTGTGTATTTTCCTTTGCCTTGCTGGCTTTTTGTGAATTTGTAATGAATTGAAGTTGTTTTTGTGTTAAGGGTAATCAGTGGAAGTACTGCATTAATTAAGTACTTCTACTGATTATTCTTTTTTTTGCCTTGTTTGCTTTCCTTTGGTTTTGGTCTTGTGCTTCCTTTGCATACTCCTTCGTGTTTATGGAGTAGTGTTGTTGTAAAGTTCTTTTGATATCTATACAAGCCTTTATTTACCCAAAAAAAAAAAAAAGATAATCGAAAATTGCCATAGTCCATTTTAGAAGGATATTCAGCTGATGTCTAATGAAATGAATCATTACTTGAGAACATTGTTGATAAGTATTGGAAAGTAATTTCCAAGTAGCATGAGAAGTGTCTAACCCCATGACTTCTTCTGTGAGGGTAGCATTGATCCAACCCAAGAGGGTTTGATCGGTAATCATCCAAGTTTCATATTTGAGGTTGGAGACCACCTGTTCTTGTGCCGTAATTGTGGCCGGTGGCCTGGGCACTTTGCCTTCAACAAAAGTCAATAGTTTATGGCTTCTAAGAATGGGGAAAATTTGGTTTTTCCATAGTAAGTAATTGATAGAGGTTAGATGACTAGAGATAAGATTGGTGATAGCAAACAAGGAAAGAGTAGGGGGAAAAATAGAGAGTCTGGATTAGGCCATTAGGTGCTGCGGCTGAAACGCCACTGGTTGCTGCAACAGTGGAAGTGGTGGTGGACATAATGAAGCTTTAAAAAAAAAAATTAATCTCAAAAGACCAACATCTCTAATACGATGAAAACGTTCAATCTGAAGGGAGTTTGTTGGATGATTTACCCTCATAATCCTGACATTTATTTATAGGCAAAAAAATTATTTCAAATATTAGATAGGAAAGATACATGGTTGTCTTTGTACCCTATCTTATCATAACAGAATTTTAAAGATGTTAATCCTAAAGATAATAAACCTAGATTGTATTCCTATCCTTATCAGGACAACCTAGTGCCTTTCCATAGAAATGCTCTGTTCAATTTTTTTTATAAGATATCTACTGAGGTATAATCAAGTGCCTGGACCAAATAAATTGTATGCTACTCAAAATAGAGAGAACTGGTTGCATTCTTCTATCATATGAAGAGACTTCAACAGCTATATAGCTAATGTTGTTTCTTCTATACCCACCAAATCCAAGGTGTTGCTCAAAAGGTAGTTTGATAGCCTTCTCATGTTTAGAGAATTTATTTAGGCCTCTAATATCCCATGAAACAAGATTAATTATTGGGATATACTCCCTTCTTATGATTTGGAGCTAACTGTTTCTAAACAAAAACTGAATAAGCAAGAAATAAATTTTTTCTTCAGTTACAGCAATTCAAAGAAATAAAGCCATCATTATGAGTGAAGCTGAAACTAAAAGCAAAGGGTGATGGCTTTTGTTAAAACCACCCCTTTTGGACTTGGTGCTATCCCCACCAAAGCGGGAAAACCCTCACCATGGGCGGGTTGGGGCTGCATCCACAGACCACACATAAGATGTAGTGATGTTCTTAACAATACCAAAAACACTTAAATTGTCAAGCAACTAAAGCATGAGTTTAGGATATCCTCACAAAGTTTATCTGTCTTCTGTGCTCTTTTTCTGATTCGAAAAAGACATTAACACTACAAAAAAAAACATCAACAAATTGTTTGCTAAGGTTTCCATCAAAATATAAGGGAGTTCTTGATGCCTGTTCAATAACATATCAAAATTCCATGGTCTTTATGATCACCTAGCTGGAACATAGACTTTAGGGTGAACCGGATCAATAAGCAAAGGAACAAAGCTGCTTCTTAAACAATGTTGAAATTCCTGCAAAATAGGCACAGTTTATCAAATATGAAGTTTTTGTTCTGATATGAGTAAAAAATTTAGAAGTGCATTTACATCAAGATTGATGTTGCTAATTGTGCATGGTATTTTACCGACATAAAATAATAATTGTACTAATATGATCTTTTCTGTTTTGATGTATGAATCATCTATAAGGAGGGGTGTAATAGCTTAATAGCATCTAAAAATACAAGAATAATAAAAACAAAAGAACAAAAGAATCATTCTCTTGCTTTTGTATGCACCAAAGTGACGGCCTTAATACTGCGCAATTTGTAACACAAAAAAGGAAATGCTAATGCTATGAACTTATCCTTATGTTACTGAATTAATTCATCATATACAAGGAAGAGGGGGTGCAACTGCTTAATAGCTGCGTAAAAAAAGTTATAAAATAACAATAATAATAGAAGGATAACAACAAAACCTAGAAAAAGAGAATCTTTTCCCTGGCTCTTGTTTTTATTCCAGCTTTTGAAGATTAATATCCCTTCCGAAATAAAAAGAAAAGAAAAAAGATATTATGCACTCACATGGTGAGAAACTTCGAAAAAACAAAATAGCAAGAGTATCCAATGTCCCTATTCCAGCACAACCCGTGACTTACAACAATGATATACACGCAGTGAAAGGCAAATATAAATGAAGAAAGAAGGAGAAGACGTTAAGACAGACAGAATCACCAACACTTTCAGCCATCACTACCTCCAAATAAGCCTGACAGACACAGAAAACAAAAATATTCGAACCCCAATGAAAAATGAAAGCATTAAGAAACATTTGCCAATGATGATTACTTTAATTACGGCATGTGAACACTAGATAAAGTTAAAATTCAGTATTATATGGAAAAATAATTTGTAATAGTAAATTTTTCTTTTACAAAGTGATCATAAATTTTTCACATTTTTACTACTTGAAAAAAATTATGATATTAAAAAATATTTTTTTGGTACGATGGTTAGGCATGTAATCACCCAAACATCACAAAGGTACACTTACCTGTGCTTTGTTGCTTCCTTTTTCTTACTAGTTCATCTCAGTGAAAGCTCCCACCTCCAAAAGATTGGCTTTTCGGCGCAGTCTTTGGTTCTGAATCCAATGAGCTCATATCAATCCCACGTTGCTGCTCTCTCTGTGAAAACCCACCACTCATGCATCTCACTATCTCCCCTACCCCAAGAAAATCTCTAGTCAGTCCATCGGAGCCCCCAACAGTAACATTGACATTCTGGTGCAGCTTGGTTTGGTCCATGTTTCCGAAACTTGGGCTATGGTTGTTTTGTGGTGGTTGTTCCAAATTAAGTTTATTTTCATTGTATCCACCATAATGTTCCTCTTGTCCATGCCCACCATATGTATTAATCCCTCCAGACCCACCTCCAAAAATGGAGGAGCCACCACTAGCAAGGGAATTCATTAGGTCATGGAGATTATTTCCATTGTTTTCGCCAAAACCGCTGCCGAAGTTGGCGGCTGCAAGGGGGCGATCCGATTTTCCGCCCCCTGAGGAGGAGGTTCCAAACCCTTTCAGCAAAGAGGCCCCATGGTTGCTTGAGGTTGATCCGATTTGAGCAGCTTTTTGAAGCAGTGCAGTTGCAGACATATGTGGAGCAACATTGTGGTTTTGAGCTGATGGGTTATAAAAAGAAGCGAAGCCAGAACTCATATGATCACCCACAAGATTACCAGAGAATATGTTGGACCCTGTCCCTTCACCACTGCTACCACTAGCATGTCCATTGTTGAACTGATTCGGAATCAGTAAGCTTGAAGATGATATATTGCTGTTGTTATTATTGTTCGTGTTGCTGCCATTATCAATGCTGCTATTGTTGCTGCTGTTCGAAAAGAAACCGAGATTAAACAGATTGGCAGCAGGAGGGTTGTTTGAACTATTCTGAAGATCAGAAAGTTGCATTAGTCCATGAAATGGCTTGTTTGGAAATAATCCAAGTTGAGATTGGTTTTCTTCATGGCTGCGTTGGTTTGATTCTTGCATGAAGAAAGCAGATGAAGGCATAGTTTGGGTAGGTCTGAATGCTGAACCAACAGACTGTCCGATAAGAGACTCGAATTGACCTGTCCGAGCACCACCAAGTCGGAGCATATCATTAGGTGTTTGGTTCTGATCTTGAATTGAAGAAACTTGGGGACCCATTTGAGTTAACCCCAAGCTCATGTTGCTGCTTCCAGTTCCATACAAATGGCTGGCAATGGTGCTCAAGGTGGATGGATGTCTTGCAGTCTCTTCAGCCAGTGCATCACAGAAGGCCCTATGAGTGATAAAACTGTCACGCCTGCAACAATTATGAAACAAAGATTATCATTAGACTACATCTGTTGGATAGTAGAAAAGGAAAGAAAAACCTTTGAAAATTTTCTGAATAGGTTAATGGGCGTCTATTGCAGAATTAAGTCAAAGGAATCTGAAAATTTTTCTCATAAAAGTCTAAGTATAGTATTAAAAATATTTAACGACACATAAAAACAAGGCACGGTAACTGTAAAATAATAGTTTTACTGCATTTTGAGATGCAAATCAATGAGATGAGAACCAATCAGAATAAAAAGGTTGCCTCCACCACATTTGCAAGGGAACAATTAGTAGACTAGGAAAATTGGGTTTACTTCAAGTTTTACAGAAAATGTAAACTCCAAATGAAATACAGCTGAGAGACTGTAATAATGGACTCCATAATTAAGAAGAAAAAAAAAATTGTGCGTCAGTTATTTTGAGGAGAATACCTAAAGCAATCTAGTTGTTGGAGAAGAATTTGTAGATTTTGGTGAAAACCTCAAATTTCCCAAGAAGAGAGGATATAATTAAAGGAGGCAGGTGATAGACTTTTACTAAAATTTGAAAATGATTGAACAATCAAGAGTGACCTACCATTTCTAGGACTGTCTATTGAATAAATGCAGCAAAAAGAATTTATGCAATATGTTGAAAACAATCAATCAAACTGGAGACCAATTCAATTAATGCAAACCCATGAAATGTGCAAATTTTTTTGTGCATCAACTACATGAAATAAAGCAGGCAAAACACCTATTTTGAACTCATTTAAATCATGATCACCAATCTCAGAATACTTTTTTTTTCCGAACACCGCCAGTACCCAGCTTTAGAACTGCGATCATGGTGAAAAAGGACATTCAAATAATTGAGAGAGAGAAAGAGAAAAGGGGGCCGAGATGACTTGGTTTCTGGACTTTCAGACGTTATCGTGAAAAGGGGTACCTGCAAGATCACAGCCCTGATCGCATCTAGCCAAGTAAGAAGAGAAAACATAAACCTGGTGAAATGAACCTGTACTTGCCATGGCACCACGTGAATAAGAGAAAAAAGGTGAAAGAAGACCAAAAAGGGCGATGGTTCCGAGGAGAGAAAAAGATTTTTTTTTTTTTTGTTTTTGAAACCTCTAGACCATGGCATTTTCCAGTGTTCACTCACGTGGAGGTTTTTTTTTCTGGCGTTATCTTCCACCCAGTAACAGGAAAATTCCAAACACAAACAGAACCAAAAATTTAACAATGAAAAAGAGAGAGAAATCAAGAGAAAGAAGGCCCAGCTACGAGAGAATCTGCAACTGTAGAAAAAACCCATCAGAACTTTGCTTCTCTTGTCACTTGAAGAATATAAGCCCTATAGCGAGGAAGCCGAGCTTTTCACTTACTTTCTCTCTCTTTCCTACCTTGAATTTGATGTTTCTCTCTCTTCAACATACCTGTAAACTAACCAGTAACCCCTAACCTCTTTCTCAGCTGTTTACTATGAATTGAACCCTGAATCACAAACATTAGAAGGGCAAAAAAAAGGTTGATTACCTTGAGAAAAGAGTGCCACAGTCACATCTGTATTCTCTAGTACCACATGTTTTTGAATGGGCTTTCCAATCAGACTGCACAGCATATTTCTTAGAGCACTTCTCACACTTATACTTCTTCTCACCATGTTTTCTAGAGTAGTGTTTCTTAATTCCAGTGAGGTCGCCAAGAGCTCTTGAAGAGTCATGGTGGACGCATGTGGGCTCAGGACACAGATAGACCTTCCGTCTCACCTCTTTTGTAGTCTTCTGCTTTAGCTTCCAAGGCAGGTTGTGTCCTCTTCTGTGAAGCTGTAGGTTTTGCTCCCTCTGGAATCCTTTGCTGCATACCTCACACACAAACCTGTTTGTAGCCATTAGGGTCTTGGGAGATAGCGCAATAACCTCTGCATCTGGATCTGTTATGGTAAAAAAAGCCAAACAACAAAACAATAGAAAAATCCCAATTATTTGAACACTAAACTGATAGAAAATGACCTTTAGAAAAAACACCCACTTTGATTCTTGGTTGAAGTTTCAAAATTAGGGTTTGCTCTTGAGACCCAGATAATAAAATAAAGATTAAAGACATAATTTATTTTTTATCTAGAGTGAATGGATTGATTCGTGGGCAATATATATGGTGGATCTTGATAAAATTGTTTGATACTTGCATGGAGTTCCAGCTTGATTTCTTCTCTTCTTCTGGGGAGCTGGAGTTGGGTTTGTTGATGAAGTTGGTACTGAAGAATGCTGTGGTTTCATCTGATTTTGATCTTCTTCTCTCATTCCAAAGAACACTGCAGACGAAGAAGCACCAGCCATCTCTGAAGCAAAACCTCTTATCTTCTCTTTGAGCTTTCTAGTTCTTGTTCTTCTTCAGATTCACCAATCTACAATCTAATCACCAACGCCACATGCAATTCAAAATCTCTTATCAAACCTTATCTCAAAAACACCCAAAAAAAGAGAGTAATAATTCCAGATTCTGGGTGTTTTAGGATGAAGAAATCTAAGAAGGTAATATCTGAAAAAGAAGCTAAAACCAAGGCAACATACAGAGGAAACGAATCAACCCATGGCCATTTAAATGAAAATTTTTGAAAAGTAAGGATGCTATGTGGTTCTTCTGTGACTCGGTGTCATGCAGACACACAAACACATACCCACAGCATTTATTTTCCTTTTTATTTTCTTAGTTTCCTTTTTTTTTTTTCTCTCTTTGCTTATATTCCTGTTTCTGCTCAATTCCTTCCAAACCTAAATAAAAAGGAAAATGATATTTAAGAGGAGAGAGAGAGAGAGAGAGAGAGAGAGAGAGAGAGGGGTGGTGGTGGTGTTCCTGTTCATGCTGCTCCCACGCACCCTAATGTGTCCATATGCGGCTACGGATTGGGTCCACCGACCTGTAGGTTTCAGCATCTCTCTCTCTCTCTCTCTCTCTCTCTCTCATTTCGTATCTTGTTACTCACTCCCAGACAAACATCCCTCCATCACCTCCTCCCTGGCACTTACAGTAAAAGAATTAAAATTATATTTAACAAAAATTTCCCAGAAAGAATATTATTTATCCTACAATGACATCCCAAATGTTTATATATATTCTCTTTTTATATGAAAAGAAAACACATGACCGTTTACTGAGCAAGTCCTGGTTGAAACTCTTTGCTGAACCAAGCTTGCATGGTAAGATTTTCGTAATTTGAAAAAGGGTATATTTATTTACTTTCAGGTTTCTTCATTTACCATGCAATATATAATCTGGACGGTTGCATCAGGAGAAGAAAGTGTAATTCTTTTATTTGCCAAAAAGTTTGCAACACAGTCATCACCCACGAAAAGACACTAATAGCAGTTAAAGTTACCATGACAATAACCTGCAACCTAAGTAATATATGTGGCAATTAAATCGAGGCCATGCCTCGTATATATATGAGAAAAAAGAGAGTGAAAAATGTTATGAAAACTCGACTTCTAGCGTGAAATGTGTGCTTTTCGTGTAATTTCAATCTCTTATTTGTGACTGTCATTTCTAATAATACGGTACTTTATGTAATCCAGCTGCAATGTTTCTCAAGATGGTGTATAGCTGAAATGACAGTTAAACCATAACTGTGTGTCGTTTTCATGATATTTTTTTTTAAAAAAATAACGTGGTGATGGTGTCAATTTTGTGGGTGTGGGTGATTCCCTCTTTTGCAAGCTTTAGAGCCTCTTGGATGACATATATGATAAGGAGAAAAGTGTCATCCACAAATTTGGTTGTTTACATCTAAATCAAAGAATAATAGACTATAATCAGATTCTAAATATTTAAAGAAAAATAAGGGCTTTGTTGGAACAAGTCGAAAGGAACCGTGATCTAAACGATTCTGGGCTGTTAAAAATACACACTGACCTTGGAGGTAATGGCATGCAATGGACTTTCCAACTGACCTTACTTAATAAGTGTTGGCTGCATTTAAATGAAAGCTATAATGGTGATGTTTTTATGAATAAGAACAAAAGCTAATAAATAATAGCAGATAGTAATAAACAGAAAGCTACAAATAAAATTTATTAACTTGCATATCTGCATATAAGTGAGAAATTAAGGTTTCAGTTACAGCTGATTTGTCCAGATTCATTCAGAGCAACGACCCTTTTGGCCGTCGCCTGGGGGAGAGCGAGTTGAGCTAAGAGAGACCATTAGGTGACAACGCAGCAGTACTCTTCTTGCACTTTGCAACACGAAGACTATAGTCATGCTAAAATATGGACACCTGCACATTCAACGACGACGGCTTCTTCCGTTTTTCTTTTGGCCTTCACGACCCTTCCCTTTTGTCCAATTTCCACTTCAGTCGTCTGACATTTTTTTTTTTGGAACAAATTAACTATTAATTTAACTTCTTAATACGAATATAATATAAATTTGATACGATACGAAATTAAAAATGATATAGGTCGGATAAAAAAAAAATATAGTTGGTATAGTAAAAAAATAATTACTTTATTTTTTATTTCTTTCTTTGATAATGTGTGAAAATTATTTAATCAACTAGAATGTTAACACGAATATCATATGACTAGAACTAAATATACCACCAAGAAAAATTGATGCAGAGAAGAAGGTAGAAATAAGAGTATAATAAAGAAAGAAGGTAATGAAACTAAACCGGTTATTTGTGCATAAATACCGATTTAGGATCCTAGGCTAGGCTTGTTGATTCCCAAAGAGTATTAGTCCTAAATGTTTCAATAAATCTATTGATTCTTAAAGAATACAAGAAAAATTGGAAATATTTAAACCCCCATATATTTATACAAATTCATATTGTGTATCTTTTCCTGAATGAGTATAAGATGACGGAAGAATAAGGGAAGATATGGTGTGCTAGAAGTGTTTTGTGTATTGAGTAGCATATTTGGGTTAAAGTTTAGAGAGAATAGTATGATGTTGTCTCAGTATTTCAGCCATAAATTATTATTACGAACTTAGATTGATTTGAAATTTTGACAGTAAAAACTAGATATCCATAGCTACAAAAATGTATTTCACAAACATTATATGAATCAATTTCTAGATAGATCAAAACTGTGTTGGAAGCTGATGCAGCTAACTGCATTTATGTTTGAATGCAGATGTCGTTTGAAAGCCAATTAGTCCCAGTAATTTGTTGTCTGACAGAACTTCTGATAGAAATTGATATACTGGGAGTTTAGGATGTTCAAACGAAATTCACGTTCAAAGTCGCGTTTGAACACCAACCTCATGTTCGAACGTCAGAATCATTTTAGAAGCGATCATACTCGCGTAAACTGTTCAAATTTGAACCCCATAAATATCTAAGAATGCCCCCCATAACCCTATTTCTATACTTCTCAACCCTAGAAACTTTAGAGATTGGGAGAGAATGAGAAGATGCAAATATTTGGTGGGGTTTACATGTAGTAATCGGACCAAAGAGAAGGGTTTTCACCAAACTACAGATTAAAGGTAGGATTCCTTTCTCAAATCTAACATTGAGGCTAGGAGTATTATGTATATGTTTTCAAGTCCTAGTTATATGCTAGATATATTATCTTTGAAGTTTTACTCAAATTACAGGAAGTTTTTCTTGATCATAAATGATTTCTATTCAAGTTCATCATTTCTTTACCAAAAACCCTAGTTCTTGAATTGCAACTCATGTTACACATGTTCTATGTTAAAGCTTGCACATTCTTGATTTCTTAAGTTTTATCTTTTGCTATGAACCATGCAAATATTGTTTTAGAAGATCTCTTGCATGTTTCTATTGGACTTATTTCTTTTGAAGAATTATGAAATTGTGGTTCTTGAGGAATGAGTGGTTTCATGGAAATGGTGGAAATTATCCCATGTATGGTGGGTGTGATTAATGTGGGTTACAATCGACCAGCTATCGTAGAGAGATTATATGAGTTTCTTATCATGAGGGGTTTAAAGGGTTCTTAACACTCACAGTAGGATTGGTGCCTTGAGAGGGCCAAACACTATTCACTCACGGTGATTAAGGCAGAGGGTTAATATACTATTCTTGGAAAGTTACGTTAATGTTGATACATAATTCATGCATTTCTTGAAAACATGTCATCGTTGAGATGATAGTAATTATGGTGTGTGTGTGGGTTAAGATATCCTCTATATGTAAATTCATGTTAGCCAACCTGCAGATATGCATGGGATATATGTTAATTTGTTGAGTATTCTGTTAAGAGGTGGTATGGTTCATAAGAAAATTGAACTGATATGAGATAAGCTCAATCTTTTTGGGAAAACTCTTCATAAGATAAGATAAAAATCCTTCAACAGGATGAGAAAGTTGAGAGGATTGACACTTGAGAGAGAGATCCAGGATCTGAGGAAGGGACTGGAAGGGAAGCAACTGGACTAGACTGCTGATCTTCTAGAGTAGTCTGACCCTGGGAAACATATTTTTTATTCTTGTTTTATTGAAATTCTTACTGGAAACCTGAGATCTTCTTAATGTTACTTATTTATTTCAAAAAATATTTATATTATTTTGACAATGGAGACTAACCGATTTTCATGTATTTTAAAGCCTTGTTGGGTTCGAGAGGGTTTCTCTACTAGGCTTTGTGCTCATCTTAAGTGCATTATATTTACTTCAAATTTTGGGTTTGAGAAAAATCCTGAAATAGGTGAGTAAGTTGATGGGGACTTTGGAGCGGATCATGAAGTGGATATGGACGTAAATGCTTAGAGATAGTTCCATGTATTAGTTCCAAGTTTCTTTTAGGGACTCTGAGACTATGTTTGGAATGTTGTTTTTATTTTCTGCTGCTAGGTATTGTTTTGGTTTAAAGATGTAATTGAAGTTTTTCACTACATTTTTGTGGAAGTTCGTTTGGTTTATTTATGCAATGGTTGGAAGTTTTGATGCTTATTTCACGTATTGATGGTTATATATAGTTGCTCTCATGGTTGAATGTTCGATAGATAATAATGTCTCCTGGGATGTATTTTGAGATGTTACAATATAAAAGAGACAATTCTCTCAATTGTAATAATCAATCCAAAATTGTTGAACCCTAATGGTCTGTTTGGTAAGAATGATGAAAAGTGAGAAGGATGAAAAATAAATGGAAAAGATTTTCCATCCCTAGAGAGAAGGAATATATCTTTCCTCATTTATGTTTGGTATGATGGATGGAAAATTGAAGGGATGCATTTTCTTTTGATTGGTATTGGATGAAAAATTAGATGGAAAGGAAAAATATATACCAAATTTACCATTATACCCCCACATCTAAGTGATGAATTTTTCCATAGTAATTAGGGATATGCAAAAAACCCGCAAACCCAACTACCCGATCCGTAATCGCCTCCTCTTGAATGAAAATGGACAACTAAAAATGCTTTTTGCTTGGTTTCAGCACGAGTTTGCTGTTAATTTTTTTTTGTTGTTCTTTAACAAAATAAAAAAACAAAAGAGAGAATTACACCGAGACTCTCTGAGGTTTGTCACTTGATCACTCAGACCCCTTGACATTTAAAATATTACACACAGACCCCTTGAGGTTTGTACGCGTGTAATACTTTGACCTCTGCTGTAAATATATCCATTAATAAATTATACTTAGACCCCTTGAAGTTTGTAGTCATATAATATTTAGACTCTTTAAGTTTAAAATATATTATAACAAAAAATATTTCAATCAAAGATAGAATATCAAATATTTTAAATTATACAATCAAAATTTATGTTCTATTGTATCACTTATTGAAATAAAATTAAAAATAAAAATTTAATTTTTTCTTAAAAAATGGTAATTAGTATAATCCCCATTACTCCATCCCAC